ACTGAACCAATGTATTTTGTTAGGTGTGTTGAATAAGGTGGTGTACCATTTATTGTCCTTTTTATTATTAAATTTCAATTACCATATTATTATTGATTATCAATAATATGATAACAATAATACATTAATTACTATTATTCTTATTATATCAAAACTCAATAGTAAAAATTTATATTTTTTTGAATATGACAAAAGTATTAGTATCAACCATTTAGTTTACTCTCATTCTGACGTAATATTAGCAATATCAAAATTTGGGATTCACCCAATAACCTATATATGTATGAGTTTATGTATCAGTTTGAGTTTACACAATTATTTTGGATATTAGTGTCAATCTCTTTCGTGTTGATACAAATATACTTACGATACACTTTTTAATATCAAAATCAGCATCCACATAGCTAATGCATTTGTTTTTCTACTTGTGTCGATTTTCTTTTTATCTGCATCCATATTTTCTTAGGCAAATGGGGTTACATTCATGTCGTGTTAGTTACTTTTTTACATACTTGGAGGCACTCAGCTACTTGTTTAGAGAACGTCCGCTTTCTCCGCCTTCTTCGTAAATATTTGGAGAGAGGGTAAAAGGTTGTTCACCATGTTTTTTCAGAATCCTATGAGAGTTCTGTCCATTAGTAGGTTTTCTACTGGTTTTGTTTTGCCTCCATATTCTTTCCCTTGGCAACAATCAGGAAGCACGGTCCTGTCATACGTTAACATGATTCGTGCAAGTTTGAGACATTATATCCTAAAATCGATTGTATATTGTCAAGTTCGCGAAGTCAAACGCAGCTTGCTCGATTTCTTCTTCACTGAGTTGGGTAAGAAAGAGGTAAGGGACCACCTGGCCAACATCCCAACCTCTTTTCTCATTTATCCCTGTTTTCAAAAAAGAAAAATGAAAACACAGGAATGCTGCTAATTACCCATATGCATCATCATGTTTGCAGTCAAAGCAGTTGGCTAAGCTATTGGATGAGGATCCAGCAGTCATGCAGCGCCACACTTCCCTTGCCAAGAGACTAGAATTGTATAGGAGCGCCAAAGCAGAGATTGAAGCAGTTGCCTGGGCCAAGTAGAGGCGAGTGTATTATTTTCTTATCTCAAGATTTATTCTTTTATTCATTGTAAGGACAGGCTGGAGAGCTTAAGGACAGGCTGGAGAGCTTATTTGCCACTGTTTCCTCTTTTTTGGGGGGAAAGCACCACAGCTTAAATATATGCATGAGAGGACTAACCAAAGCAAAATAAGAAAGAAAAATAAATGAAACAAGTTATCCAAATAATGCAATTTGTTAAAAAATAAAAATAAAAATAAAAATAAAAATAAAAATCCGGACATCTTCACATTAGAAAATGTTAAGAACTTTAATTTTAATTACATGATAAATAGAATTTAAGTAAGATTTACATGTATCATCATATAACTTTAATTAAATATTTTAATATTTGTTTAATACTAAAACGTTTTGATCTTCAACGTCTTGATTTGTAAAATTTGTAAAGAAATAAGCTTTGTACCTCTTTAATTTTCTTGTACTCAATCAAACTTCATTAAAAGAAAAAAAAAACTCAATTAAACTTTAAAATTAAAGTTATATTATTTTTTTTAAAAATTAATAAAACAGCCGGATTCAAAATCCGCTTAAAGGAACGCATTTATTCAATGACTAATATCATTAAACCTCTAAAATCAAGTGCAATTAATGTTATATTAATTAATGTAAAAATAACAAAAATTAATATTAATTTTGTCATTAATATTATATATTATTTTAATTAATAATTGATTAAATAAATATTAAATTTTATTTTTTTAATAATAATTAATATTAAAAAATTATTTTTCGCTTGAACCTTTAAGTACATATTAAAAGAACCCAAAATTTATACGTAAAGATGATTTCTTTTTATATATTATAAAAATTATCATCTAAAAATACGTGTTATGGCTGATAAATTCGAGTCGTGGATTGAATCTTATTCGGTGGTGGATTTAACAGGCGGTGAGTGCTCTGTCGCACAGAGCGATCTCTCACACCACGATGTCCTTCTCGAATCTTGTCCGTCCAGTGGAGGAAATAGGCTTCTATACGGCCATCCGATGGCTTTCCTTCCTCCAAGTTCTTCTTACGGCCACCCTCAAGTAAGATTGAGAGTAAATTCGAGTGGTGGAATGAATTGAGTTTATGAGGCTGATTAGTAGAAATCAGGCTGATTAGTAGAAATCTGTGAATTTTCAGGCGTCAATGATCAATTTTCAAATTAAGTCACACGAACAAGATGACGATCGTTGTGTCTGTGGACGAAGAAGCTATACCGAATCCTCACCTGCTCTGTGACGATATTGTGGAATCGCTGAAGCTCATTAAAAACGCTGTTGAAGCCAGAGGAATTCACCGGTGACTTTCCCATTGCTTTTTATTTTCATTTTATTTTTTTAAAATGCACAGTACGAGCTATTCCTATTCCATCTCATAGCTTTAGCCTTGCTTGCTATTTAAATTAAATTTATTATCTTTTATTTCCAAAATAAAGATATTATCGTTGAGATATTAATTCGTTAGCCAAATTAATTACTTTGATTTCCCCATTATACGTTTTGATGGAACAATAACTTTTGAGGTACCAGGTGTCATACACTAGTTGTTAAATGTATTTAATAAATACATTTAGATAATAATCAAGATTCAAGATATGTTAATAACATTTTATTTTTTATTTTTTTTATCTTAAATTGTATTTGTTTGAAAAAAAGAAAGAAAGTAAAAAAAAAAACTTTGAGCGGTCCTTGAACCTAGTTGTTTTTTCTTGTTTCACCCTTAAAACTTGTTTTTAAGGTAGTTAAACTTCTGTATTATACATTATGCCTAATTAAGAACAATGTTTATGTACCAAAAAAAAAAAAAATTAAGGACAATGTTTAAAAGAGATTCAGACCATTGTGATGTATTAAAAACGCAGGTAACTTTTTCCATCAGCTTAAATTAATTTAAGGGTTTTTTTTTAATATTTATTATTGTATATTTTTATCATTGATTTGTATAGAAAATTATGAAATTAAAATTTATTTTCAACATTAATACTATATAGAACAATTTAATTGGACAATTAATAAAATTTAAATTAATTTTTATTTTTTATATGTAAATTAATAATAAAAAAATATAATAAATACACCTTAAAACAAAAGTTAAAAAATTGTTTATTCTTAATTAATCTTAAGATACTAATGTTCAAATATTCTTAAAAATAAAGAAATAAGATTGGGAAGAGTTTTGCCTTATATATTCTGACCAGATGCGGCCTTGGATTAATTAAGGTATGAAAATTTACAACCATAAAATCTTAAATTGAATCTAACAATAGAGCCTTTAGCCCAAAAAAAAAGTTTCAGGGCAAAATTTTTTGAAAAAAAAAAATTTCAAACAGTGGATTTTTTGCGTACAACTTTGGGTTTGTTTTTTTTTTTAAACAGCAAAAATTATATTTATTAAAAACGGAGTACAAGGTACCCAAACCCATAACAATACCAACTTTGGGTTTGTTTGTTTGTTTTTTTTTTTTTTTTTTGGACAACAGGAAAGAAATTTGCTGGTAATCCCATAATTTCGATCTATCATTCGTTTCACCCATGGCGTTCCATCTCGCTCCTCTCATACAAGAAAACGAGTTATTACCAAAACTCAGATGTCACAGATAATAATGCAACACCCAAGAACCAAAACCCAGATTTTAGCAATCTTCATCATCCTCTTCATTCAACTCCTCCCTATTGTTATCGCCCACAAATCCCAGGATTCACAGGTTCCACTCCCATATAAAGGCGGACACCACCTTCACCCATCCCACCATCATGGTCATCATGGTCAGAAGCCGAGTCATTCCTCCCTGTCCGAGGAAAATCTAGATGGAAGCCATGAATTACCCTCAAATTCACATCACCATGACCCTTCTCCACTCCAGGGGAGCCACGATTCGGGTGGTCAGGATAAGGGGTGGTCGCACTTGCCGTTACCGATGTCGGAAGAAGACGAATTTCTGATAGCCCATAATAAATACCGGTCTAAACTTGGTCATCCACCTTTGAGTTGGGACGTGAACCTGGCCAGCTTCGCACAGTGGTGGGCGAATAAGCGCAGCGTTGACTGCGAGATGCTCCACTCACGGATGGATTACGGTGAGAACATCTTCTGGGGGGCGCGCGACCACTGGACGCCGACGGAGGTGGTCGACTTGTGGGCCGGTGAGGGCAATTTCTACAATCCCGAGACAAATATGTGCCAACCGGATCAAATGTGTGGCCATTACACTCAGATTATTTGGACGACAAGTTCCAAAATCGGATGCTCTAGGAAAAAGTGCCAAACCGGTGGCGTCTTCGTCATTTGCTCTTACGATCCGCCGGGTAATATTCGCGGTAGTGACCCTTTTTCCCCGCAACGTCATAGAACTTCGGATACAGGAATTTCACCTCTTCCATCGATTCCTCCACCTCCGTCGCCGGGAGAGGCACCTTCACAATCAAAACATGCTAGATTTACAGCAGTATAATCTGTTATTTGGGATTGGGAAACATTTACCAAAAGTTTTCTCAAGAATTCACAAAAATAATTGCCGTTGCAACGCAATCTATTGCATAGATTTCCACTAATATTGTATTAAAATAGTAGTTACGACGTTCTTTGTTAGGATAGTTTACATTGAAAAAATGGTGTTGTAATTGAGGGTATTTTTAGTGATTTTGCATTCTCTTTTGATTAAATGGATTCTTTTCCCCGACTGTTTATCCCCCATTAAATCTAAAATTGAAAATTTGATGGATTTTGTTCAGCACGTACGGTGCTGAGTTCAAATGTTTGTGGAACGAGGAGTACGTTACATCTGTTGTCTGTGCAAGCAAAACTGTAATCCCATGTATTTTAAGACTTACGTAAAGTTGGTTTTTAAAGACTCTTTTCATTTTAATAGTGTTTGAATTGGTGTTCTTTCATTTGTTTGATAGTATATAATTGTTAATAAGAAATTTTAACAAATATTCGTCAACAAAATTATAGTCAAATCACAAACACTTCTTCCCAATTTGAAAGTAATTTCCATCTTTCAAATGACCTCTTTGGTTGATGAAAAGTGTCCGTTTTGTTGTGGAAGTGTTTAGTTAGAACATATAGTGCAAATATTTGAAAGTTATTTTTGTATTTAGTTTGTATTACATAGACTTAAAAAAATGAGATTTAAGGTTTAAGTTATGGGATTAATATTTTTAAAAAAATACAATTTTTGAATGTGCTATGCAGAGATGGAATTCTTAAAATTTGTCAAAAAAAAAAAAAGTTTGAAGATGCAAATGAAAATTAACCAAGGGACACAATAATCATAAATTAAAAAAAAAATGTAAACAAAAAAATGTTCTCACTCGAAAAAGTTTAGAGTCCAATGATAAGTTAAAATATTTTTTTTTTATTTTCTTTTTCTTTTCTCAATAAATAGTTTTTATTTTGTGTTTATTACAAATTGAAAGTACTTCCTTAGCAACATTCAGGCAGTAAATTTTTGTGTTTAGCTGATCATGTAGGGGTTTGCTACCCCAGACTATAATTTTCTTTTTCAATAATATGTCTTCTCTTTATTAAAAAAAAAAAAAAAACATTCAGGCAGTAAACTGAACATCAAAAAACACTTAGGCAGTAAACTAAGAAGTTTTACAGAAACTAAAAATTAAAATTA